GAAAAGTAAGAATCTATAGGAAAGAGAAAATCACAATTGTAAAGTAAATCACTTATTAAACCAGTATTCAGATTAAAAAAAAAATCAAAAAGTTTTTGTGAAGTGATAATCACAGTGAACAGCAAAAGAATAAACATGAAGATACAAAAGAGGACGTCGAAATCATAAAATGTGGAGGAATAGAGTAAGAAAATGTAGATTCTTTTTTTTTTAGAATGTATTTGAGCCTATTTGACTAACAGTCTAAAGCAAGTAGATATAAGAAGGGGTTAAAGGGGTTCTGTTACTTGAAAACAGAGTAACCACAGATTCACAAAAGTCAAAAAGAGAACACAAGCATGATACAAAAGAAAATCATCAAACCACAAAAGGAAAAAAAGAAAAAGAAACAAGGAAGAAATATAAAATCAACTGGAAAACAAGGCCTAAAATGGCAATAAATATGTATCTATCAATAATTACCTTGGGCTTCCCTGGTGGCGCAGTGGTTGAGAGTCTGCCTGCCGATGCAGGGGACATGGGTTCGTGCCCCGGTCTGGGAAGATCCCACATGCCGCGGAGCGGCTGGGCCTGTGAGCCATGGCCGCTAAGCCTGCGTGTCCGGAGCCTGTGCTCCGCAACGGGAGAGGCCACAAGAGTGAGAGGCCCACATACCGCAAAGAAAAAAAAAAAAAGAAAGTGAAGAATAAAAACTATATAATCAGACAAATAGATGAAGAAAAAACTATTGACAAAATTCAACACGCATTTATGATAAAAAAAAGTCTCTAGAAAGTGGGCATAGAGGGAACATACCTCAACATAATAAAGGTCATATAACAAACCCCCAGTTAACATCATGTTCAATGGTGAAAACCTGAATGCATTTTCTCTAAGATCAGGAACAAGACAAGGATGCCCACTCTTGCCACTTTTACTCAACACAGTATTGGAAGTCCTCACCATAGCAATCAGACAAGAAAAAGAAAAGGAATCCAAATTGGAAAGGAAGAAGCAAAACTGTCGCTGTTTGCAGATGACATGATTACTATACATAGAAAATCCTAAAGACACCACCTGAAAACTAGTAGAGCTCATCAATAAATTGGGTAAAGTTGCTGGATACAAAATTAATATACAGAAATCTTTTGCATTTCTATACACTAACAATGAACTACCAGAAAGAGAAACAAAGGAAACAATCCCATTTACCATCACATCAAAGAGAATGAAATGTCTAGATATAAACCTACCTAAGGAAGTAAAAGACCTGTACTTGGAAAACTATAAGACACTGATGAAAGAAACTGAAGATGACACAAACAGATGGAAAGATATACCATGTTCTTGGACTGGAAGAATTAATATTGTTAAAATGACCATACTACCCAATAATCTACAGATTCAATGTGATCCCTATTAAAATACCAACTGCATTTTTCACAGAACTAGAATAAATAATTTTAAAACCTGTATGGAAACACGGAAGATCCCGAAAGAGCCAAAACAATCTTGAGAAAGAACAGAGCTGGAGGAATCAGGCTCCCTGAATTCAGACTATACTACAAAGCTACAGTAATCAAAACAGTATGGTACTGGCACAGAAATAGACACATAGATTAATGGAACAGAACAGAGAGCCCAGAAAAAAACCCATGCACTTATGGTCAATTAACTATGACAAAGAAGGCAAGAATATACAATGGAGAAAATACTGTCTCTTCAATAAGTGGTGCTGGGAAAACTGGACAGCTACATGTAAAATAATGAAATTAGAATATTCTCTAACACTATATACAAAAATAAACTCGAAATGGATTAAAGACCTAAGTGTATGACTGCATAGTATAAAACTCCTAGAGGAAAACATAGGCAGAACACTCTTTGACATAAATCACAGCAATATTTTTTTGGATCCATTTCCCACAGCAAAGGAAATAAAAGGAAAAAAAAAAAAAAAGGGACCCAATCAGACTTAAAAGCTTTTGCACAGGAAAGGAAACCACTGATAAAATGAAAAGACAACCTACTGAACAGGGGGAAATTTTTGCAAATTATATGACTGATAAGTGGTTAATATCCAAAATATATATACGGCTCATACAACTCAGCATCAAAATAGCAACAACCAACCAAACCCAATTAAAAAATCTGCAGGACTGAATAGACATTCTTCCAAAGAATACATGCAGATGGCTAACAGGCACATGAAAAGATGCTCAACATTGCTAATCATCAGGGAAACTCAAATCAAAACCACAATAAGGGACTTCCCTGGTTGCGCAGTGGTTAAGAATCTGCCTGCCAATGCAGGGGACATGGGTTCCAGCTCTGGTCCAGGAAGATCCCACATGCCGTGGAGCAACTAAGCCCATGTGCCGCAACTACTGAGCCTGTGCTCTAGAGCCTGTGCACCACAGCTACTGAAACCCGCACGCCTAGAGCCCTGCTCTGCAACAAGAGAAGCCACCGCAATGAGAAGCCCGTGCACTGCAATGAAGAGTAGGCCCCGCTCACTGCAACTAGAGAAAGCCCATGTGCAGCAACAAAGACCCAACGCAGCTAAAAAATAAAAAATAAGTAAACAAATTTATATATTAAAAAAACCCACAATGAGATATCACCTCACACCTGCCAGGATGGTTACCACCAAAAAGAACACAAATAACAAATACTGGCAAGGATGTGGAGAAAAGGGAACTTTTGCTCACTGTTGTTGGGAATGTTAATTCATGTAGCCACTGTGGAAAACAGTATGGAGGTTTCTCAAAAACTAAAAATAGAACCACCACATGACTAGCAATTCCATTCCTGTATACCCGAAAAAAATGAAAACACTAATTTGAAAAGATATATGCACCCCAATGTTCACAGCAGTATTACTTATAATTGTCAAGATATGGAGGCAAACTAAGTGTCCCTCAACAGATGAACGGATAAAGAAAACATGGTATATATATATATATATATAACAGAATACTACTCAGCCATAAAAAGAAGGGAATTTTGCCATTTGCAACAACATGCATGGACTTGGAGGGTATTTTGCTAAGTGAAATAAGTCAGATAGAGAAAGACAAATACTGTATGATTTCACTTATATGTGTAATCTAAAAAATTAAACTAATGAATATAGCAAAAAAGAAACAGATTCACAGATATAGAGAACTAACTAGTGGTTACTAGTGGGGAGGAAGGGCAATATAGGGGTAGGAGATTAAGAGATACAAACGATTATATAAAAAATAAGCTATAAGGATATACTGTACAACACAGGAAATATAGCCAATATTTTATAACTGTAAATGGAGTGTAACCTTTAAAAATTGTGAACCACTATATTGTACACCTGTAACTTACATAATATTATACACCAACTATAATTCAATAAAAAAGAACAAATACTGTATGATCTCACTTATATGAGGTACTTAGTGTAGTCAAAATCATACAGATACAATGTAGAATGATGGTTACCAGGGGCTGGGGTTAGAGGGGAATGGGAAATTATTTTTTAATGTACAAAGAGTTTCAGTTCTGCAAGATGAAGTGTTCTGGAGATAGATGGTGGTAACAGTTGCACAATATGAATACACTTAATATCACTGACCTGTACACTTAAAAATGGTTAAGATGGTAAATTTTATGTGTATTTTACCACAGTAAAAACCATTGAAAAAAAATCAATTGACCTCTTTAACCCCACTAAATACAATCCTATTTCTGTGAGCTAACAACAAAGCTTCTCAAAAAGTTGTCTATATTTGCTCTCACCATTTTTTTTACTTATTTTCTTCTCAATTCACTATAATTTATCTTCCATCTCCATCACTACACTATAATGGCTTTTAAAATAAATAAATAAATAAATGTTTATTTTTGGCCACGTTGGGTCTTCGTTGCTGCGTGTGGATTTTCTCTACTTGTGGTGAGCGGGGTTACTCTTCACTGCGGTGCGTGGGCTTCTCACTGCAGTGGCTTCTCTTGTTGCGGAGCACGGGCTCTAGGTGCGCGGGCTCAGTAGTTGTGGCTCGCAGGCTCTAGAGCACAGGCTCAGTAGTGGTGGTGCACGCGCTTAGTTGCTCCATGGCATGTGGGACCTTCCCAGACCAGGGCTCGAAACCGTGTCCCCTATGTTGGCAGGCGGATTCTTAACCACTGCACCACGAGGGAAGTCCCTATAATGGCTTTTGTCAATGTCCTTCAACTTGATAAATCCAAGATCTTTTCTATCATTATCTTATTTGCTTCTCAGCAGCAGTGGACAGCAGTAACCACTCTTTTTGAAACATTCTCTTCCCTTGGTGCCTGTGTCCACCCCTTATCCTTACTCCTATTCTCCTGGTTCATATGCTACATCATTTCCTGCCCCTTCCCAGTCTTGTTTTTTGGATGTTCCTCCTTGGCCCATTTTCTAAATATCAGCATGCTTCCCCTTTCTCCCCTTACACTCCTCCCATGATCTCATACATTCCATGGCTATAAATACCTATACATGCTAAGTGATTCACAAATCTTTATCTCCAGGTCAGCTTACTGAGTTCTAAACTCATATTCAACAGTTTATTATCGTCTCCAGTTGAACGTTCAACAGATGTCTAAACCTAACCAAAACAGAAATTTTCTCACCCAAACATGTCTTTCCCTCAATTTTCCCCAATCTTAGCAACATCCTCCCACTTACTTAACAGAAACCTGAGGGGTTTTTCTTGGCTGTGCCGTGCCTGCGGCATGCAGGATCTTAGCTCCCCAACCACGGACTGAACTCGTGCCCCCTGCAGTGGAAGTGGACTTCCACTGGACCGCTGGACTGCCAGGGAAGTCCCAGAAACCTATGAGGTATTTTTGATAGTTCCTTTATCTAAACCTCATGTTCTACCGAAAGCAAGCCTAACTTCATCTCTTTTCAAAACATATGATGAATCTTTCTTTCCATCTCCACTCTTCTCACCTGAATTTCTACAATTACCTAACATGTTATATAATATTTACTTAGTTATTTCGTCTATTATCTGTCTCACCAGTCTTATGAACTTCAGGAGTGAAGGGAATTTTGTCTGTTTTGTTCTGTGCTGTACCCTCCTGGCCTAGAATAGGACTTGATGTGCCATTAATATCTGTTGAATGAATGGAAGAAAAGTCTAGTGGGAATCAGACAAAAAGTAATTACAATGCTTTTTTAAAAAAGGAGAAACTATGTACAAAATTTAGAAAAGACAATATTTCCAGGCCTTAGAATTAGGCACAGCTTAATCTTTCCCTTTGTATGAAAGAAAAATAAGTACCAGAATAAAGAACACTGGGGAAATGTTTGTTTTAGTTTTCCCTTTAAAATGTATGTTGAAACAAACTGCACAAGTAATTATATCAAATATTATTACTTTCCAAATGATTAAAAAAATATAGAGAAATAATGATAGGGGAAATGATGGAAGGAATTAAAGGTTTCAAGAGCTGATTTCTCCAGAAAGGAAGAAAGGATAGATATGTGAAGAAAAACATTGTAAGTGTGTAGTATGAAGAAAGATACAGAAACAAATTTTAAAAGGCAAAGAACTTTTTCTGGAGGAATGAGAAAGGAAGTTGGTCTCAACTTTATAGGACAGCTACATGGGATCTTTATAAAGTCAGAGATAGGAGGGACAACCTATAGCGTGGGTAACTTGTGACTAGCAATTAATACTTAACAGGTGGAAATCCTAAGACTCATCAACTCCATTTCTTAGAATCCACCCTACAAAGATAGTAACAAAAGCATATATAGGGGCACGCACAAGGATATTGTTGCAACAATGTTTAAAATAGCAAAAAAGGAAAGAGTCTAACTGCACTTTCAAGTTAAATAAATTATTGTATACTCATACTATGAAACTCCATGCAGCCACTAAAAAACACCTGAGTCAGCTTGAAATTTACTAGCCTAGGAAGAGATAGACTGGGTCTATGAAAAAAGCAAGTTGCATATAAAATTTAAAGCATGATTCCATTATCTAGAGATAGGTACAGGGAAAACACAGGTGTGATTGAGAGGTGTGACTAGAGACAAGAACACAAGAGTTTCATTTTTATTTTCTATAGTTTTCCTTTGATGGTTTTGGTAATTTAATTTCCCTCATTTTGTGGTCCCCCCACCCCCAATAAAATATTTTTTAAATGTTATGATTGGTTAAGGTTAAAATTAAGAGGGCTAAGTATGGAGACTAAGAATATACTGAGACTTTCAAAATGGTCTGTATTTGATAATCATCCAATCACATTTGTAAAAAGTCAGACAGAAATTCTGATTTCATTTTTTAAGCCAATACTGGAATGATGAAATTACATCAACAGCCTCTGTGATGTAAAACAGCCTCTGTCACCGAACAGAGGCTATGTTTGGTATTCTGTAACTACTGCATTAAAAAGGAAAAATAAAAGCAAAGGAAGAAAGGGAGACTGAGAAGAGAAGGGAGAAAGGAAAGTATATAAAGGGAGGTTAAGCGAAAAGGGGAGAGAGACAGAAAGAAGGGATTTGGACTTGATTGTGTTGTCGTTTGCTAAAATTAGAATTAAGAAGCAAATATGTGATGAATTCTATCGTTTGAAAATAAAACCATTGCTAGTGGTAAATGTCACTAAGCAGGCAGCAAAATATATGAAGAGGAGATGAAACACCATTCTAGGGACTGTGGTTTCCTAGTCCTGTATTCTATCTGGGTTCAGGTGTATTTTGCCATCCTGTGGCCAAATAACAGTATTGATTTTTATCACACACTACAACATATCTGAAGCCTGAAAACTTATCATTTTAATTTGAGATTTACTGAGGAATGGTAATGCATTCTATACTTCACAAATGAGCAATTATAACTCTTGACTAGAGTTTATATAAAGCCTCAGTTTTAAACAATCTGAGTCATTTCAGTAAAGTGATGATTTTCAACTGATGTTGAGACAGAGAAATCAGTTATTCAAATGATCTATCGTCAAGAACTGGTATTAAAAAATGTACTTATCTAGAGTGTAGTATGTGTTTTATCTCAAACTTGGAATTGCTTTCTTCTTTGATTCTAATTTTACCAATGGAAAAAACTTACACATTCAAAAGATAGATATGAACTTGCACTATCACAACACTGTTAATCAACTATACTCCAATATAAAATAAAAAGTTTAAAAAAAACCCCAAAAGATAGGTATGAGCTTGCTTAATTGGTGAACTCAGTTCAGAAGTGTTCTGATTCCTAATTTTTGTTCCACTCCACTGCTTACCATAATCTAGACAAAGACAAAATAGAACCCATTTTCATTACCATCAAAATTATTATTATTACCCCTGATCTTTACGGAGGACCTACTATGTGCCAATCACTGTGCTAAGGGGCTTTACATGTATTATCTCTTAATTCTCCCACAACTCTCTAAAGTAGAGAGAGTTACTAATATTACTGCCATTTTACAGATGAGGTAACTTGCCTATGACTGGAACAAGGACAAGCATCTTGGTCTGATTACAAAGCTCATGCTCTTGGGTACTGCTGTACCACTATCCCTGTCAATACACATGGCCTTTTCTAATTTATTGCGCAATGACGTTGGCACAGGCCCAATTTCATTTATTTTTTTATTTTTTGCGGTACGCGGGCCTCTCACTGTCGCGGCCCCTCCCGTTGCGGAGCACAGGCTCCAGACACGCAGGCTCAGCGGCCATGGCCCACGGGCCCAGCCGCTCCGCGGCATGCGGGATCCTCCCGGACCGGGGCACGAACCCGCGACCCCTGCATCGGCAGGCGAACTCTCAACCACTGCGCCACCAGGGAAGCCCCTCATTTATTTTTCTATCTACACAATGGGAGTTATACCACTGGTCCATGAGGTAAAATAGAAAGACTTCCCCTTCCCAATGTTCTACCACTAAAAATGGTAACCCTCCATTTTCTTGTTTTATGAAAGCACTTAAAATATAATTATAAAGTTAGACAGAAATGTTTTGATTATACTCTTGCTAGAAAAATGACAATTCTCACCAAATTCAATAATTGAGTAAGTGCTATTCGGAATGGCAAATGGATGATTTTCAACTAATGTAGAAACAGAGACATCAGTTATTTAAATGATTTAATAAATGCGCTTTGATGATGCTTTTACAAAGGTAATCACATTTAATCGCGACTAATCTCATTTTCAACTCTCCAATTTTTATGTTATAGTTTCTTCTCCCAAATGAAGTTTAACACATATATAATTAATATATATTTGACAAGCTTAACTACCAACATAATTTGATTCAAAACCTCACATCCTCCTGGATTGATAGCTTCTTATTTCTAAGACAGGTGGAAAGAGCCTTGAACCTGGAGCTCTAAAATTTCATGAGTAAACAGCAGTATAACCTTGGGCAAGTCACTGCTTAACCTGAGTCTCAGTTTCCTATCCATAACAAAGGGATAACATTACTCGTCTCATTGGACTGTTACAAGTTTTAGAGGAGGTACCTTGTGATTAAATCTTTTAGACTAAGTCCATTATAATTATTATTGTCTCTCAACTTGGCAGGGAACACAACAAAATGGCAAATTCCTCTTCTTTTTTAAATCTCCGTTTTTCCTGTTTAAACATCCTTTTTTTCCCCTAGTTGCTATCTCCTTACTTTGAAGAACCATCCTACATTAATGCAGACCCTTGTTCTCACGAGGTATTTGAACTGCATCTCCTGATTTTCTCCCAGAAACCCTTGTTAAATCAAAGACCAGCCCTTAGTATTTATGCAAATTCCTTACTTCCACTACGGCCTGGAAGCTACAATAATCTTTCTGCCACCTCCCCTTTCATAATCTCTACTACCTTTACTATCAGAGGAAGGTAGGTTCTGGAGAAGAACTGAAATTGAGCCATCTACTTCCAGTTTCTATAATAATTCTCTAAGATATAGTTTGTAGATTAACTCAGATTTAATTTATCCACTATGATATATTTTATTAGAAAATTGTCTGTGTAGAATTATCTTTCATATCAGAAGCCTCTATCAAGTTAAAGATATATGAGTAAGAAGGTAAAGTTGGTAGGTAAATCAAAGATAACTTGGCCATTAGAAGAATATTTTTATAAAAACATCTGAGCAAGCACCTTACTTTTCACCATTTTTAACTGTCCCAAATCACAGCTGTTCAACTTGTAAATCAAGATAAGGCATATGTAGCTAAGATGTAAGAATCAGAGAAAGAGGAAACCCACGTAATTAAACACAACGCTTAATATTAATTACACTTATAACACAATACCTACCAGGCCTTCTTGGGAATATCAACGGTCTTTCCACTGGAAGACAAGCTGTATGGACAAAGAACTGCTACTGATTGTAAATAAGGATTCATTGGCTTATTTTTAACTTTTTAATGGAAGATTTCATTTAATTCAATAATTCTTTAGTTTCATCATATATCCAGTAAGCGTTTGAATTTCCAATTGTCTCATAATTGTCATCTTTCTTTTACAGTTTATTTGAATTAGGATCTAAATAAGTTCCATATACTGTGATTGACTGATATGTCTTTCAAGTGTCTTTCTCTGTAGGCTCCTTTCTCGTTCTGAATTTGTTTGTTGAAGAAATTACATCATTTATCCTGTGGCTTCCCAGGGTCTGGATTTTGCTGGCTGCATTTCTGATACATAGATGAAAATGTCCCTGCAACCTGTGTATTTTTTGTACATTGTTAGTTGGATACAGAAGCTTGATCACATTCAGGGTATATATTTTGGGGTGGGAGTGTGGGTAAGACTACCTTACAGGTGGTAGCATGCTCTTCATCAAGAAGCACATAATACCTGGCTATTTTATTTCTTTTTTTATGATGTTGGCAGATGTCAGTGCTTAACACCTCCATTTCTTAATTCATTAGAGGTTGCAAAATAGTGATATTCTATTATTCTTCATTCACTTATTAGCTGTAATACTTCTTTAAAGAGAATCTTCCTCTTATCTACTGTATTAGTTTCTTGAGGCTGTTGTAATAAATAACCACAAATGTGGTAGCTTAAAAACAACAGAAATTTATTCTCTCATAGTTCTGGAGGCCAGAAGTCCATAACAAAAATGTTGGCAGGGCCATACTCCCTCCAGATCCTCTAAGGGAGAATCTGTTCTTTGCTTCTTCCAACTTCTGGTGGCTGTTGGCATTCCTTGTTGCTGCATTGCTCTAATTTCTTCCACTATGGTTACATTTCCTCTTCCTCTTCTGTTTGTTCACCTCCGTGTCTCTTATAAAGATACTTGTCAATAAATGTAGGGCCTAACACAGTAAAGATTTCATCACAAAATCCTTAACTTAATTATACCTGCAGAGACCCTTTTTCCAAATAACATTTACAGTTTCTGAGGATTAGAACATGAACGTATCTTTTGGTGGGCTACCATTCAAACCACTACATCTACTATTTGATAATTGGTACAATTCATGTTGGAAAGGCTGGAAATGCTTGATTATATTTATTTACCAGTCTTCAAAATGATGAGTCGTTTCCCTACCATTCTCCAATGGTGACCAATCAGAATTTTCATGTTTTTTGGGTTTTTTTTGCAGTACGTGAGCCTCTCACTGCTGTGGCCTCTCCCGTTGCTGAGCACAGGCTCCGGATGCGCAGGCTCAGCGGCCATGGCTCATGGGCCCAGCCACTCTGTGGCATGTGGGATCTTCCTGGACCGAGGCACGAACCCGTGTCCCCTGCAGCGGCAGGCGGACTCTCAACCACTGCGCCACCAGGGAAGCCCTAATGTTTTGTTTTTTAGCAGCATTATAAATTAATGGATTTAAATATTTGATGCAATTCAACTTGCTGCACGTACTATCCTATTGATACTCAAAGTGTCTCATCTTTGGCCAGTGGGAGCCTCTTCATGTTGGCTCCTAAATTCTTTTGACATGACACTAGAAGTCTTTGATATCTTCTGTTATGAGTTGAATTACCTCCTCCCAAAGAGATATGTTGAAATCCTAACCCCCAGTACCTTAGAAAGTGACCTTATTTAGAAATAGTGTCTTAACAGAGGCAATCAAGTTAAAATGAGGTCATTAGGATAAGCCTTAATCCAATATGATTGGTATCCTTATAAAAAGGGGAAATTTGGACACAGAGATAGACATGAACTGAAGGAAAACAATGTAAAGACACAGGGAAAATGCTATGTAAAGATGGAGACAGATATTGGAGTGATGAGACCCAAGGCAAGGAATTCCAAGGGTTGCTGGCCACCACCAGAGGCTGGGAAGAGGCAAGGAAAGATTCTACCCATAGTGTCAGACAGAGCATGGCCCTGCTGACACCTTGATTTCAGACTTACAGCTCCCAGAACTATGAGGCAATAAATTTCTATTGTTTTAAGTCACCCAGTTTGTGATACTTTGTTACAACAGCTCTAGGACACTAATACACTTTCATGCTATCTGTATGAAAATATATTCTAGATTCATTTTGCATTAGGTAGGGCAATAATAGGCAATTCATTTGGTTTAAATTAATATGTTTCTTGCCCCAGTCCTGGAGTGAGAAGTATTTCCAAGGAGCTCTAATTCCTTTTAGTGGAAAATGGTACTTCAAGATCATAATCCGGGAGCTAGTAGTGCTCACAGATACCAGGCTGATCACCAGTGAGGTGTTCAGACTTTTTCAGAACTATGTATTCAATATATTTTATAAGTTAAAATGTATTGACTTTGGGTTTTTGTTGCTTAAAAAAAAAAAAAAGACATTTCCTGCTTTTGACCTAGAATTAGAATAAGATATTTCTCCAAGGAGCATTGGTCTTAAAGTACCATAATCTAGGTACCAGGTATACACATTGTTAATGGGTTGGTTATTGTTTCTAGGACTTTTCAGAGCCAGGGAGAAATATTTGAGACAAAATACACCGTGACACTTCTAATTTAAATTCAGGACTACAGAATTTTCATTTATCCTCTTCTGTCTTAAATCTGAATTTCATTTCTCCTATGTTGGGAATCCCGCTTCTCAACAATGACTGGGATGGTATAATTACATCATATAATTACTCATCTTCTTTATCCCACATATCACAAAAAAAAAAAAAAAGAGGGCTTCCCTGGTGGCACAGTGGTTGAGAGTCTGCCTGCCGATGCAGGGGACACAGGTTCATGCCCCGGTCTGGGAAGATCCCACGTGCCGTGGAGCGGCTAGGCCTGTGAGCCATGGCCGCTGAGCCTGTGTGTCCGGAGCCTGTGCTCTGCAATGGGAGAGGCCACAACAGTGAGAGGCCCACGTACCGCAAAAAAAAAAAAAAAAAAAAAAAAAAGAATACATATACAACATTACCACCACAAATAAAAATATTGAGAGCAGTGAAAAAAACTTTTCATATTTTTGTCCTTAGAGAATATCCCACTACAGATATATATAGTTTAATGACCGTGTTTTAAAGTCACTTGAAAAAGTTCCTCTTCGTGTGTTATGGAATACACTGTTAGGTTAATTTGCTTCATTTTATTTTCAATTTTGGGATTTCTTTTCAAAAGTTAACTTTGTTCTATAATCTACCACCTAGAAGAATTAGAAAAAGAAGAACAAACAAAACATAAAGTCAGCAGAATGAAGGGAATAATAAAGACCAGACAGGAAATAAATAAAACAGAGATTAAAAAACAGAAAAGGTCAATAAAACCTTTTTTTTTTTGAAAGGATAAACAAAATTGACAAACCTCTAGCCAGGCTCACCAAGAAGAAAAGAGAGAGGACCCAAATAAACAAAATAAGAAAAAAGGAGAAATAACAGCTCATACCATAGATACATAAAAAATCATAAAAGAATACTATAAACAGTTATATGCCAACAAATTGGACAACCTATAAGAAACGGACGTTTCTAGAAATATACAGCTTGCCAAAACTGAGTCAAGAAGAAACATAATTTGAACAGACTGATTACTACAAGTGAAATAGAATCTGCAAAAACAAAAACAAAAAAACAAAAAACCCTCTGAAAACAGAAGTCCAGGACCAGACAGCTTCACTGGGGAATTCTACCAAATAAAGAAGAACTTATACCTAGCATTCTCAAACTATTCCAAAAAACTGAAAAGGAAGGAACACTCCCAAATTCATTCTATGAAGCCACCATCACCCTGATACCAAAACCAGACAATGACACTACAAAAAAAAAAAAAAATTACAGGATATGTTTGATGAATATAGATGTGAAAATCCTCAACAAATATTAGCAAACCTAATTCAACAATACACAGAAAGGATCATACACCATGATTAAGTTGGATTTATTCCAGGGTTACAAGGATGGTTCAACATATGCAATTCAATCAATGTGATACACCACATTAACAAAAGAAAAGACAAAACCACATGATTAACTCAACAGCATAGAAAAAGCGTTTGACAAAATTCAACATCCATTCATGATAAAAACTTTCACCGAAGTGGGTATAGAGGTAACATATCTCAACATAATGAAAGTTATTTATGACAAACCCACAGCCAACATAATATTCAATGATGAAAAGCTGAAAGCCTTCCTACTAAATTCAGGAACAAGATAAGGATGCCCACTCTCACTACTTCTATTCAACATAATATTGGAAGACCTAGACACAGCAATCAGACAAGAAAAAGAAATAAAAGGCATCCAAATTAGAAGGGAAGAGGTAAAACTGTCACTATTTGCAGAAGACATGATACTCTATATAGAGAACCCTAAAATCTCCACACAAAAACTATTAGAAGTAATAAATGAATTCAGCAAGGTAGCAAGATACAAGATTAATATACAGAAATCAGTTGCATTTCTTTACACTAACAATAAAATATCAAAAAAAGTAAGAAAACAATCCTGTTTAAAATCACATCAAAAAAATATTTAGGAATAATAAACCTAACCAAGGAAGTAGCTATACTTTAAAAGTATAAGACATTGATAAAACAAACTTAAGATGATTCAGAGAGGGCTTCCCTGGTGGTGCAGTGGTTAAGAATTCGCCTGCCAATGCAGGGGACACAGGTTCAAGCCCTGCTCCAGGAACATCCCACATGCCGCCGAGCAACTAAGCCCATGCACCACAACTACTCAGCCTGTGCTCTAGAGCCCACAAGTCACAACTACTGAATCCACATGCCACAACTACTGAAGCCTATGTGCCTAGACGCCGTGCTCCACAACAAGACAAGCTACCGCAATGAGAAGCCCGCACAACACAATGAAAAGTAGGCCCCGCTCGTCACAACTAGAGAAAGCCCGCACAGCAAGGAAGACCCAGCGCAGCCAAAAATAAATAAATTAAATAAATAAATTAAAAAAAAAAGATTCAGAGAAATGAAAAGATATCCCATGCTCTTGAATTGGAATAATTAATATTGTTAAAATGGCCACACTACCCAAAGCAACCTACAGATCGAATGCAATCACTATCAAAATACCCAAGATATTTTTCACAGAACTAGAAAAAATAATCCTAAAATTTACATGGAATGACAAAAGACCCAGAATTGCCAAAACAATCCTGAGGAAAAAGAATAAAGTTGAAGATATAACCCTTCCAGACTTCAGACAATACTACAAAGCTATAGTAATCAAAACAGCATGGTACTGGCAGAAAAAAACAGATCAATGGAACAGAATAGATAGTGCAGAAATAAACCCACACACCTATTAATCTACAACAAAGAATATAAAAGAATATACAATACAGAAAGGACAGTCTCTTCAAGTGGTGTTGGGCAAGCAGAACAGCTACATGTAAATCAATGAAATTGTAACAGTCCCTCACACTATATACAAAAATGAACTCAAAATGGTTTAAAGACCTAACTATAAGATATGCCACCATAAAACTCAGGAAGAGAACATAGGCAAAACATTCTCGAACATAAATAGTAAGAATATTTTCTTAGATCAATCTCCCAAGGCAAAAGAACTAAAAGCCGAAGTAAGCAAACGGAACTTAATCAAACTTAAAAGCTTTTACACAGCAAAGGAAACCATCAACAAAATGAAAAGACAACCTGTGGAATGGGAGAAAATATTTGCAAACAATGTGATCAACAAGGAGTTAATATCCAAAATACACAAACAGCTCATATAACTCAATATCAAGAAAACAAACAATCCAATAAAAAAATGGGCAGAAGATCTAAGGGAGGGTGGAGAGATAAATTAGTAGTATGGAATTAACAGATACAAACTAAATAGATAAACAACAAGGATTTACTGTATAGCACAAGGAACTATATTCAATACCTTGTAATAACCATAATGGAAAAAACCTGAAAAAAATTACATATATATAACTGAATCACTTTGCTGGACACCTGAAACTAACACAATATTGTAAATCAACTATACTTCAAATAAAAATTAGGTGAAACCTGATTATAATCTTATTTGGTAGGGCTGAAATATATCAGTGCTTTTTATATCTTGAATGAATGCTGTAATTATGCAGTATACTTTACAGTAAGACTTCCATTAGGATTAGCAAATTTGAGATATAAGATCTTTCCTCTCAACTTCTGTATTCTCCAAAACAGCAGTCCCCAACCTTTTTGGCACCAGGGACCAGTTTCATGGAAGACAATTTTTCCACGGACTGGGGAGGGGGGGTGGCGGTGCAGGGGGGGTGTGGTTTCGGGATGATTCAAGCACATTACATTTATTGTGCACTTTATTTCTATTATTATCACATTGTAATACATAATGAAATAATTATACAACTCACCATAATGTTGACAGGAGGTGGAGCTCAGGCGGTAGTGCAAGCAATGGGGAGCAGCTATAAATACAGATGAAGCTTTGCTTGCCAGCCACTCACCTCCTGCTGTGCAGCCTGGTTCCTAACAAGCCGCGCACTGCAATGAAGAGTAGCCGCCGCTGGGGGCAACTAGAGAAAGCCGGCAGGCGGCAACCAAGACACAATGCAGCCAAAAATAAATAAATAAATAAATAAATTTTTTTTAAAAAGTAGTACTTACATAAGGAGGTAATAAGTCCTCTTAAAATAGTAAGAAGTGAAAAGTATTAGTATAACTTTTCCGGCTAATGGTCACCCGACTATTAAATGAATTACAAATGTTGATGGAATCATAATTTTATATAATACATAAAGAACACTATGATTTCCTGTGATTTTTTTTTTGTTGTTGTTGTTCTTTGATGCTCCCAAACAAGCAGCTGTGCAGCGAACTGAGAAGCAACTGATATTCCTCAACTATGGTTTCAGAGGCATACAAGTTTGACATTTTGTTTTGCTTTGCCTTTTGAGGATAAACTCCCTCACTTGTCCAGACTACATTCCATGTCTCTGGAAATTCCTAGGGACAAGAAAATTAGGTACTGTGAGCTCTGCCTTCTAAACAGAGCATTCTCTGTTCTGCGTGAAATGTTGATATAAAGGCGAGATTAGCTTGGACAGAACAGGTCAAAAGCCTACTGAGTTGCAGTCCAAGACATGGACATTTTCTGCCCCTCTTACGCAGCGAGAGGCCATGTGACTTGGTGTGTCACATGCCAAGTATTTCAGATGTTAGTATGTCCTGACCATGTGGAGTCACTGAATTTTGGCAATATTTTTAAAAACCGAGAAAATTTGTGCGATCGTAATCCCGGTTATCAGTGTTTCGGGTTGGCGGTGGGTGGGGGGGGGTGGCATTTCCACCACCTTTAAAAGTCATTTAAAGTACGTGGGATAGTAGAGGCCGGACCTTTGGGGAACTTAAACCCAGAGACTTTGTAGCTTACTGATGGAGAGAACTCATACGGCTTCAGATGTTATTAATTCTGGAATGTGTTTACGGGGAGCCCAAATCAGCTTTCATCCCTTTTAGGAACTCGTACACAATTCTGCAAGCTAAAGGCCCATCCTAGGGAAGAGGTGCCAACGCCTCGGAAATCGGAATCTGAGTCGAGCCCGTTCTCGGAGATGACTCCGCATTTGAAACTTCCCTCAGTCCGAGCGCGCCAGGGCCAGGAAGCTGGGCCACGTGACCGGCCCTCCTCCGCGGCCATTCCTAGCGGGGCAACAGCCAGCGCCCCTTCAGCATTTCGTATCCCCTCCACCGCGCGACGGCGCATAAATGCCCGACGCGCGGCGATCCCAGCTAGCTCTGGACTCCTGTGTCACCAGAACTCACGCGTTTTCCAGCAATGCTTAGCAAGTTCCTCATCCCAAAGCAGGTGCAGGAGACTTCCGCCTGGGTGCCGACCACGTGATCACGCGAGACTTGGGGAGACAGAGGTCCAACTTCACTACTTAAGTCCCCGGGCCCTGCCCTCACAACAGCCTCCATTGCGCGTGACGACGCGCGGCGGCCTCCGCCCCGGCGCGCCTGCGCACGCGGCTCTCGCGGTGTCTCGCGCTCAGACCCGCCCACCTCTGCCCCCGCCCCTTCCGCCCCTCCCTCCCCCTCCGCCCTGTCTCTCGGCGGCAGCGGCGGTGGCGGCGGCTCGCGCAGCTTGTTGGCTCACTATATAAAGGGGAGAAGCGGGCGGACCGGACGGCTGGAGCTGCAGCCGGTGGCGGCAGCGGCGGCGCGGGGAGCGGCGACCGGTGGTGGTTTCCCTCCTTGGTGCGGGGTGGGGAGCGGGCAACGCCCCCAGGACCCCTGAAGGGTCGTGGCCTTTTTTTTTTAAGGGCGATTCTCGAGTTTTTAGCTCCGAGGACTGCTCTCCTCCTCTACCTCCTCTCACCGCTCCCCTCTCCTCCGTCAGGATACGATTTTGTTTGAAAAATTTTTCCCCCCAATTTTGCGGTGGCTTGGGTCACCCTCCGGGTGTTCTTTTTTTGTTTGTTTGTTTTTGTTTTTATCTTTTCTCGGGGTTGCCCCCCTCTTGTTTGTGTTGTGTGTGGAAATGGCGAACTCGGCAAATACAAACACCGTGGTAAGGACGTGGTTTGGTGGCCGGCGGGGGCTTCGTTCAGGCGGCAGCAACGGCCGGACCGGGCGGGGGCGGGGACGGCCGCGACTCCCGGCCTCGACTCTCTTCAGCCGCCCGCGCGGCCGCCGCCACCGCCGCCGCTTCCCGCCTCAGGCGGAGCGGGCCGGTGCGCCGGGCGGCGGGCGCGGGGGGGTGCCGAGGCTTGCGGCCGCGGCGGCGGGGAGGGCGGGGGCGCCTGCTGGGCCTGGGGCCGCCGCGGGGCGGTTGGGCCGGGGCGAGCGCGCGGCCCCGGCCCCAGACCCCGGCCGCCAGGAGGGAGGGCGGGAGGGGCGCCGCCGCTTCTCCCCGAAGCGGGCCTGGCCGCGCCGGCTGGAGGAGGGCTCCCGGAGCAGCCTCAAAACAAAAACCGTGTTTGGGGAGCTGGGCGAATCCCCAAGACCCACCGCGATCCACTTTAACGCAGTGAAAGGTTAATGGCTACTTTGGGGGTTACTTTGGGCGTTTTGGCGGTTGTGCTTAAAGAGCCTTCATTGGGGCCATTTTATGTTTAAAAAAAAAAAAAAAGGACGAAGGTTGAAAAGCACTTATCTCGGTTCCTTCCGAATCGGTAAAATGGCGAAGGGGAAGCAAAACCCCCATCGTATCTTCGACTAGCAAAAGCACCAAAACAAACAAAGCCTACAGTAGTGGTCAAAGTGCCCCGCTTTCGCCTTGAAATTTGCCTACTTCTCACCGTTTGTCCCTTTTTTCTTACTTGCGATCACGTAGGTTTGCAAAAAGCAGTCACATAAATAACCTTTTCAGTCACCAACGCAAAATGTGATCACTAGCCCACCCCACTCTCTTATTTTTATTATGACAATAAAACACTTTTTTGCCCGGTCCCAAATGCAGACAAGCCCACGGCAGCCCGGCTCCGTACCGTTGACGACTCGGGTCGATCCATCATGGCTGCGGCCGCTTACCCTGCTTTTCAGTCCCTGAGCCTTGTGGTCCTCCTCCCTTTGGCTGCCCTGTTTATATAGAGCCATTGCCGCTCTCTAATATAGACTCTGCCAGGATGGGAAGGTGCTTTTCAGGCCTACGTCACCGCCTCTCCATTTAAACACCAGATCCGGCTTTAAATAGTGAGAGCTGCTGAGAGCGGGGCTGGGAGGTGCGTGCTCCCGAGGCGAGAGGCTGGCGCGTGCAGAGCTCAGTTTATTCCTAAATCCTTTGCGTACACTGTAATTTCGTGCCCAACCGGGTCTGCTTTTAGAGCCCCAAGTTTTTGTTTTCATACAGCAGCTGGGATTTGCGATCTTTGATAGGGGAAAATAGACTTGCCATCCTCTTTTATTTTATTTTTATTTTTTAAAGAGAATTTAAGCTCAGATGTCTAATCGTTCTTGTATTCAGAAGATGCATGCATTATTGTCGGTAATTTTTTTTTTGAAAAGTTTTCTACATTAATTGTTAGCTGTGGAGGATTTGATTTTGGTAGTATTTTGTTTATCACGTATTCAGGAAATGTTAGAAATATAGCTCCTAATATTTCATTATGTTTTCCTATAATAAATATTTGAGATACGAAGCTTTTCAAAGAAATAGTAAGTGCCTAAAGCTTCGACGTAGGACCTATGTCTACAGTACATTTATGGATCGGGGAATTGTGAGTAATTTGCTTAGTGGAAACTGGGTATTAAAATTCTAAGTAGACGGTGTTTTTGCTGCATTGGCTGTTAATGTGATATCCAATATAGAAATTAATCCAACTTATTTTCCAGTATTGTACCAGGTACTAACACTTTTGAAAGAAATCCTTTAATCATTAGATAATGGCACTAATGGCCCTTTAATTTACGAGTTTTTAAGTTTGGAATATCTGGTTTTTGAAAACTAGGACAAACCTAAATTAATGTGTATTTCATAAAAGGCAAAAACTTTGGCTTAAGTACATTTTAGTATTCTAAATAATTCAGAAATTGCTTATTTCAAATAATGCCTGTGTACTCACATACTTTGAAAAACGTCAGTATTTTGCGCGCTTTTTAACTCTTGAACAATTTTAAATTGCGTATACTTCATGAATAATACACATTTCCCTTTCTTTAACTATAGTGCATATGAATCCATTAAGTGGTCAAGTTGTGGGTTAATTAAAGCACAAAAGCAAAATCTTAAAGCAAGATTGATTCATTAAGTAGGGAGTGCCAGAAGAAAGCACATTGTACCTATAAATGTGTGGATATCCAAGCAGAATATTTTTAGGGATGACCGACTTCAGAAACACCAGAACAACATCTATTTTGCTGGAAAAATAATTTATATCGTCAATTTGAGATTTATACTACCAATTTAAAATTACACTGTATCTTTATAATGCCTTGAGTCATTGGTTTAAAAAAAACACTTTATAAATGTATTTTTGTAATTCAGTAGTTGAATTGCCATAGATAAGGTGATACCCATAGTCAGATAGACTTTCCTTTATATATAGAATCAGAATGCTAACATAAGGAGGCACTGTAGAGATGCAGAAATCACATGAATAATTTTAGTTCATAGAGGCAGATTTGGCAAAATAAAAAGATGAGTGAGTGGAACGGCAAAGGTGAGAAACTAGATACATGAATTGTTTTTCTGGTTGTAATGAAAAGGAACAAATAGTTTTTAATGGTTTAGGTAAGTTGTATAGAGGAACTCATTATTTATATTTTTGCCTGGACAAGGACACATAAGAGGTTTCCCCTGTGATAACAGTATTGCTGGGAGAGATGCTAATGAAACATTTATTTATGTTTGAGGTTTGCTTATGAGAGCAAACCCTTGGTTTTATTGGGTAAGCAGTAATTTTTAAGCAAGATATAAAACACAGATAATGACAAAGTATTAAAATAAAAAGGCTGTT